AGCATATGTGCGGTTTCTGATGGAGATGAGAAATCTGCTTCCTGGTGTGTTGAAGTACCAATAATTTGCATCCAATCTTTTGAATAAACAGTGTTAGTTTTTTTTAAATATATATGAATTATGCTCTAATTTGTAGTTACCGATATGTTGTTACTATATTTTAATTTGACAAACCAGATCTTCTCGCCGTTCTTTTTCCCTTTTGGTGCGATTGCATGTTGACCTGGCCAGACCGGAGCGGAGCCTGCACATTTAGAGTAAGGTAGCCTCAACCTGCTGCTGTGAAGCAGGATTTTCCACCATGAACATAATCAAAAATAAATATGGATCCAGGCTCAAAATGAGCACTTTGATATGTGCTTGAGAATGGCTTTGTCTCCATTCAAACCCAGGTTTAAAGCCTTGCGGGTCAGCCTAAAGCCCACTGCTCTCATTAAGCCAGAAAAAAGAAAAATAAACAGTCAGTTCAGGTGTTTTAAAAAAATATGTAAATCAGGAAATTGTTTGTTGTTCTCTACTTTAAAAAACACTTTAGATTTTAAAATGGAAACATTTTTTTTTCTTTTATTATTATTTTTTTTTTTATTTAAAAATTCAATGCATAAACACCTCATTTTATTTCAGGGTTAAAATCTGTTAAAAGTAACAGATAATTAAAAATGTCTCCAGACCTTTACTGGTTGTTGATTGTCTTTATTCGGACCCCGCTGAGTTTTACTTGGTTACCCCTGATCTATGCATTACTGACAGCTGGGGTCCGTTTCATGAAGCAGGGTTACCAAAAGCTCCACGTTGTCTAAACCTGAAAACAGGGAAACTGACTTTTCCAGTTCACAAAGAGTTTCCTCAACCTCTGTTTCAGTCACCGTAGTAACATTCTCCTCAGTGCTATGCTGGTCGGTAGCAGGTTTTCTTCTGTAAACTCGGAGTGTCCGCTGTCTCCGCTCTCATTACAGCCAATCACACCATTTTATATCCTGATTTAGTCTGATTTTTGTGCCTTAAAGCTACAGTGTGTAATTTTCAGCGACATCTAACGTCCAGACTGCAGACCGCAGCAACATGAACATCTCCCCCCCACCGCTTCTCCCTCCCAACAGTACGGCGAGCATACGGGACAAAATGTCTTCCACGACGTCCGCATCACCTACCTTCTCAAGTGATGAGGTTCGTTTACATAGATAATTTTACAGATAGTATTTCATTAGTCTGTGTAGGGTATAGATTTCATGTAGACTTAAGATAATAAATATACCCGTTATTTTTTCTACATCGTTGTGACGTTTTGGTGAGCTGCTTTGCATGGTGATATAAACAGACGAAGTAATTGTAGTCATTAGTTTAACAGCGAGATTGTGTTCGCTGGAAGAATATATATTCCCCGTTTACAGAGTCCAAGTCTTGTTTGTGGCACGGGGGTTACAAGGCGAGGAAGAGGGAGAGGAAGAGGGCGAGGAAGAGGGCAGAGAGGCCGGGGTGGGCGTGCAGCCAGGGCCAGGAGAGGGAGAAGTGCCAGCGGGGTGACTAGAGCAGAGGAGGAAAGGCTTGAAGATCTCCAAAGGAGCCGTAGAGAAGTAACCGAGGTATATATCCAGAAAATTATTTTACAGAAAATTACTGAATCATTACCTGTGAAACGTCAGAGACGTTGCTGAATAAGTATACTGGAGAGTAACAGCATCATCAAGCAGCATGTTATTGTTCTCGCAATCGCTAGTTTTTTAGCTCTGCGCTGCCGTAGCGCAAAGATGTCTGCCTCCATGGCTGCGAGATCCGCTCCTATGTAATTATAAATAACGAATTCTAAGGCAACGCAATTATTAAGGTTAAGAGGCTGAGCTCGTAGATGATGATAAATAACATAGTTATGTATAATATATTACATTTCTGACTTATATCCCTGTAATTATTACACACTGTAGCTTTAAAAAAATATATATATTATTATTATTATCAAAATTATTTACATTTATACATTAGACACCAAACACTGCATGTCCGTTTGACGAGGATCTTAATAAGGAATGATCTTTACTTTTTCACAAAGAATTAAATATTAATAGGGAGTGGATTCTACAACTCAGTTGACGGGGCATGAGATTACTTTATGTTTAATACGAGAAAGATGCGGATCATTTTATTTTTATTTTGTTATATTTACAGTACATGAAGAACTACTATAATTATTTTCAGATTACACATAAATAGATTCGAAATTTCAGCTAGTAAGTCTGTTTTTTTTTTTCCCCAGAAAGGGAGATAATGGTTGAAGCTTTGTGTCGACCTGCAAAGTTCAGATTTTCTAACTCTAGTTTCTGCCAATTTAGACAAATTTCAGATACTCGGAAAGATTAAAACCTACTGCAGGAACTCTCCATGCCTTGAGATGCGCATCCACCATAGACTCTGCATGAAAATCAGATGGACAGTAACGTTGTGGCCAGAGGGCTCAGATGCTATGCTCATGGACCGATTCAGGAATACAGATTGGAATACTTTACACCACTCAGACTTGGATCAGTATGCCTCATCTGTACTGGACCACCTCTCCACCACCATAAACGGGGTCACTACCCACAAACGCATCACCAGGTAGCCCAACCAGAAGCCCTGAGTTAACCAGGATGTTTGCCTTCAGATCAGGGGATGCACAGGCCTACAGTGCAGCCACGGCTGAGCTGAAGACGGGCGTGAAGAAGGTCAAACACCACTACGAAAGGAAGGTGGAGGATCGCTTCTCCAATTCCAACTCCCGGTGTATGTGGCAAGGCCTTCACACTTTCACAGACTACAGAAACACCAACACCTCCCCCAACTCCTCTGATGTCTCCTTCCTCAACGAGCTTAACAACTTTGTTGCTCTTTTTGAGAGAGGGAACACTACAGCCGCAACCAAGGCAGCCATTACCCCAGACCACCAGCCCCTGACTCTCCTCTCCACTGATGTAGGAGAGGTCCTGAGCAGGATTAAAGCCTACAAGGCTGCGGGTCATGCTGGCATCCGAGAACGTGTCCTTAAGAGTGCACTCTGGGGAGCCGGCAGAAGTGCTGGCCCACTCTGTGGTAACGACCTGCTTCAAATCCACCTCCATCGTCCCGATCCCCAAGAACTCCAACCCACACGGACTCAATGACTACCATCCGGTAGCCCACACCGCCATCATCACAAAGTGTTTTGAGCGCTTGGTGATTATGTCTACATTGGACCACCACGAATTTGCAAACAGGCTGAACAGGAACACAGAGGATGCGGCCTCCATAGCTCTGCACGCTGTCCTTTCACTCATGGACAATAAGATCACTTACCCCAGAATGCTGTTTATAGACTTTAGTTCAGCATTTAACACTGCCATCACATCAAAACTTATTACCAAACTCCCAGACCTCTGCATCAGTCCACTCATGTGTAACTGGTTGCTCCACTTCCTGATCAGCCGTCCCCAACATTTCCAACTGGACAACAACTTCTCATCCACCATCACCATAAACACCGGATTGCCACAAGGCTGCATGATGGGTCCCAACCTCTATTACCTCCTCACCCATGACTGCAGACCTGTCCTGGCTCCAACACCATCATCAAGATTGCAGAAGACACCATGGTGATCGGCCTCATTAGAGACAACGATGCCTACAGAGAGGCGGTGGACCATCTGGCTGAATGGTGCGACACAAACAACCTGCAACTGAACACCAAAAAGACCAAGGAGCTCGTCGTGGACTTCAGGAGGAATGCTGACCCACATCCATCCATCCACATCAAGGGGACGGCGGTGGAGAGTGTGTACAGCTTTAAGTTCCTGGGAGTTCACATCTCTGAGGACCTGACCTGGACAACCAGCTGCTCCAAACTCATTAAGAAGACGCACCAACGCCTCTTCTTCACAAGGACCCAGAGGAAGAACCACCTGTCCTCAGAGATCCTCACGAACTTCTACCACTGCACCATCAAGAGCATCCTTACTGACTCTAACACAGTTTGGTATGGAAACTACTCTGCCTCAGATCGCAAGGTGTTGCAGAAGGTGGTGCAAACAGGCAAGCGCATTGCTGGGGCACCGCTCCCTGCCATCAAGGACATCGACAGGAAGCCGTGTCTGAAAAGGGCCGGGATAATCACCAGAGACTCATACACCCTTTACACTCCTGCCCCCTGGGAGGCTTTGCAGTAGTCTACGGACTAGAACCACCAGGCACCTGAACAGCTTCTTCCCCACGGCTCTCACACTACTGAACACTTCCTGACACTAACTATAAGGACTATACACCCCCCCATTTATATCCAATACATACATAGTCTCTGTGCACATGTAAATAAATATTTACATTCTGAATAGCACTTCTGGATAGAAGCAAACCACATTTCTTTGCGTCGTACTTGTGACAGTGTAATGACAATAAAGTTTAAAGTGGGTATTGATAAAAAAATCAATTCAGCCACAATTCAAAAAAATCAATCGGTAACTATCAGAACTTTGACGAATTACTAAGTTCATTCACTCAAACACCTGCTATGACACTGTGGAGCACATCTGAGGCATTACAATCTACAGAAAGTGGTATAATATACTACAACATAAAATAATCATAGCAGTGGTATCGCAGTTACTGTGACAATAGATGTTCAAGACCCAAGTTCATTCATGGCCATTTGTAAAATCCAGGCAAGGTTGGGTAATTGAAGAGCCATGTGCTTACAGTGGTGCTGCTTTGTCCTTTTTGTCTTTACAATATGTTCTATTTTACACAATATTTTTCAATGTTATGCACTTTGTTTAGCTAGTAATAACTAGTCAACTCTCCTTTAATTATCAATAAACATTAGGCAAATTATGATACAAAAACACTATTTCAATTTAAAAAAAGCTTTATGTAGCTCCAGATTTAAAAATATGGTTTGAATATCAAAATAAATATACTCAAATAGAAATGTTTATCTGAGAGGATAGCTTGTTATTTTTCAGCAAAAGTAATAGACAATGCAACTGATTATAATGTACCTCCTGATACAGGTGCATCCATAAAAACTGCCCCCAACTTCTCAGCAGCAGCCGCCATCTCTTTAGAAACTGATGGATCAATAGTGCTGGAGTCAATCAGCAGTGAGCCTTTCTTAACTTTTCTGTTGGGGGTACAAAAAAACAAAAAACACACTGATTTTAGATTAATCACTTATAAGATTAACAGATTTAAATGCATGTCTAAAAAGAATTGGTTTACTTGAGAATGCCGTTGGGTCCTGTGTAAACATCAATGACATTAGGACTAGAGGGAAGCATTGTAATAATACGATCTGCCTTGTCTGCAACCTCTGCAGGATTATCCACAATCTGAAAAAAATAAATAAATCCATAATTCAAATGTATTTTTTTTTATGCATTAAAACATTGAGTATTTTTAAAGATACAAATGTGAGTATATACACTCAGCATTCACTACCTGAGCACCCAGCTCTTGCACCTCTTTACAAGACTCTGGGAATACATCTGTGGCAATGACTGGGTATCCATGCTTCAGCAGATTCTTTGCCATTGGATTTCCCATATTTCCAAGTCCAACAAACCCCACTTGTGTCTTTGAGGCCATAGACCTTGTGCAAACTGGAAAAACAGGACAAAATTGATAAATTTTAGGATGCATAAAATTCCACATATGTGCCAATTTGCAGACTGACCATTTCAAACCAGACCCATAGAGCAATCCCTTAGCACTCCTCTGACATGTGTACTGGATTTTATACTGGCGGATTTGAATTAAAACATAGTTTTTTCGTTGTATTTGGGCTATCTACTTAAAAAACAACCACTTGCATTTAAAATACAAATCATAACATATTATAATGTTTATATTTTTACTAAACAGGACTTGTTACAAACAAAAAACCTTGAAACTTGATCTGTATTTTATTAAAAAACAAAATCATATCATAATTGGCCTATCAGACATTAGGTATTTTTTGTTTATGTTTTTTTTAGTAGATAAAGGGATACGAATTTTAAATAGGAAAGAAAATTCAATCAAAACAGGGAAACTTTGTAATAATGTATAAAAAGTTTAGAGGTTTCTTTGTGTCTGGGGTCGTATTTTCTTAGAAATTATAGAAGAGAAGGACACATGATGAAATGTAGCCGATAAGCTTTAGAATCCAAGACACGCTAAAAGTAAATAAGCACATTTCAAGCTCATAGGTAAACAGGAACCTGAACCCAGCAATTAAATGGTGAAATAAAGCCTATGGGTCAACAGCTACAACAATTCCAGCTTAAAATAGCTTTAACTTTTCTTAAAACATTTCAAGGTAAAATTGTTTTGCGTAGCAAATATCCTTCCTTTCATTGCTCTGTTTAGTTTTTTGCATTTGTTTTAGATGAAAAGACCAACACAATGTGTACGAAGTTATTCTCCTTACCGTACGCAAAGTCAACATGTTTACGGCACCTTCCTACTAGGCACAGGGACCCTCTCAACACAGCAGCCATGCTTCTTTCCTCTTGACCTTACGGAGGACGCATGCGTAGCAGCACGTATATGAGTGACAGCTAACTCATCCAATCAGATCACAGCGCCCCGCAGCACGACCCCACAGTTTCAGCCAATGAGCTGAAGGGGTGTTTTAGGGTGGGCTGCAGAAACAATTGTTCTATGCTGCTCGCCAATTGCATAGAAACATTGCTTTATTTGGTTAAATATAGCCTCCAGCTCTTTTTGTTTTGAGAATGTGAGGTATTTAGAATGTCTTGTTGTATAATTTGCTAATGCATGTTTAAAATGTAATCCAAAGTAACCATACCTAGATGTTTTTTGTAGTTGTTTATAAGAATAAGTTAGGGTAAACACCTTAATATGAAAACACACTCTTGCAAAGTATCACACCATTGAAATTTTTCTCATTTTGACACAGGACAAAATACAATAAGGCATACCAAAAAAGTAAAAAAAAAAAAACAATCCACTGGACTTTGTTTCCAAGTTTGAAGACGCTTCGATTCCCATCCAGGAAGCTTTTTCAAAAAAGTAAAATTGGAACATTGGTGCATTTGTGGAATTTTGAAATGAGTATGAACTGGTTGACTGTGAATCTTCACTAGCAAAGAAAGGTATAATGACGAAGTGAAATAAACATGTTTGCATGTTTCTATAGATAATTTTACAATCACATATAAGAATAGAGAAGTGTTATTAATTTATTATTTTCTCTGACCTTTTTTCACTGCTAATGATTTTACGGTTAATTATTTGATAAACACAAATAGTCAAAGAGAATAAAAATTAATACATAAAACAATAAAATGATTGTAAAACTACGATAAAATCATTTACAACAAAAAGAAAGGAAAGTTGGACTGCAAATTTAATTGACAATGTTTAGCTAGCAAAGTCAAAGGCCACTCTAAATAATTACATTCTAAGCAAGTTAATGTTTCACCAAAGTCCCAGTTTCTGGAAATGTGTTCAAGATTCGTGGAGCAAAATAACTAAAAGCTGCTTCTCTATATTTGGTCTTGGTTCTAGTTACACAGATTAGATTAGGGCAAGGAGATATAAAAGGGATGGGATAGATGTGAGGCTGATAAACTTACAACAAGCCTGTAATGTAAAACTGTGAGTCGTATGCATAACTATAGTAACTTATGTTGGTGTTTATGATAATCTGAGTTAAGATGTGACCAAATTTTATTGAACTGAAGAAAAAAGGAGAAGTAATATTTTTTAAACCAAAGGCGGAGCAATAAAAATTTGACACACAGCATCGATGACTTCAGCTAAAACCACCGATAAGGCAAAAAATGTGTAGTGACACATTCAGACCCTAATGTTAAGAGTTGAATAAAAGACAATTACAACGTTGGCCTTCTATCACCTAAAGAACACCTCTAGAAATGAAGGAAATAAAATCCCAGCAAGACTTTGAAAAAATATCCATGCATTTATTTTTGTGAAAACGAGTACTACAGAGGCATCTTTACAGGTCTGCCAAAACAGTCAATCACATCTGCAGTTGATTCAGAATGCTGCGGCCAGCATCCTGACTTAAACAACAAACCAAACAAAACAAAAAACACAGAAAACAAACAAAACGACAATGAAACAGCACGTATTCCCAATTTTAAAGCCCTGACTCTGGCTCCCTGTCCCTGAGATGGAACAGACTTTAAAATACATCTCAGACCACTATGGTGTTCTGGATAAAGTCTCTGCATACCTAGAACCAGAGCCAAATTTGGAGAAGCTGTTCTTAGTACCTATTCTCCAAACATCAGAGACAAACTCACAGTAGACTTTAAGAGTGCGAAAACCATAAGTTCCTTTAGTTCCTATATATATGTATGTATATATATATATATATATATATATATATATATATATATATATATATATATATATATATATATATGAACAATATTCAGAAATATCTTTAGTTTAAGTTTCCAGCTTTTATTATGCCACTGCATTGCACTTTTCTATGTGTGTTTTTTTTTTATTATTTATTTTGTTCATGTACAATGCTTTGAATTGTCTTGTTACTATAATGTCCTATTCATATAAATTTGCTTTAACTTTTACTAGTAGGGACAAAGCTAAAAAGGAGATAGTAATAATAAAGAATCATAAGGATCCTTTGCTGATTTGATTTTAATAAGATATAGAATAGAATAGAATAGAATAGAATAGAATAGAATAGAATTGAATAGAATAGAACTTGGCAAACTGGGTGTTGTATTTTGATAAATTAACATTCATAAATAAAAAGTGCAACATTAACATAAAACAAAAACTCAGATATTAAAAGATGACAGTGTAAAGTCTTCTTTACAGTTGTTTACTTGTTATGACATATAGAAACCGTCTTATTGTACTTAAATTTAGACAATTTGAAAAATGTTGTCTTTGAGTCATGCAGTGAAAATAACATATCTTGCCTTGGAAATGTTCTAAAACAAAATGTTTTGCTTTGAGAGTTTCTGGAAACCCCCCTATTTGGGAGAGGAACTTTTAAAGATGATTTCTTTGAACCTCCAAAAGGCTAGCTGTCCTTCATTCTGAGTGAAATTAACACAAAAAATAAATTTCGTTGAAATAACATTAAAACCCCAAAAGTAGTGTAAGGATGATGAAGACCTCTGTTTCTTTTATAAAAGTTATTAGAAATCGCACTGGTGTTAAATTCAAGTTTGCTTATCATTATTTCCTAATATAAGGGACCAATTCAACTCTATTAAGATCGAGTATGTCATGATTTAATTATTTTTCTTGTTTTTAAACATGTCCTTTGCGGAAATGACGTTATGTTATTATTATTCCAGGAAGCAGACTCGGGAAAGCCCTGAACTGCGTCAACTGCGTTTGTATGTTAGATTGGGATGTTAGTCGATGTATAACATGTCCACAAGGTATGTTTAATCTTCGTTTTATAAATACTATAAGATTGTGAATATCACATTTTGTAGCCTGGCAATCTGCATTTAGAAATTAAATTAAGCTAAAAAGTTGCTAACTGTTTACATTAGCTGTAACCTTGTCCTCACTGATAGCTGTTATCTTTTTGTTGAACTGTTACTTTATTTGTCATTGACGTTATGTATGACAGCTCGGTGAATTTCAACCCGTTGGGTTAATGTTTTTGTGCGAGGTTAAACAGTGTGTGCCTTTTGCTTAAAGGTTGGTGTTTTGCTTTAAATGTGTCGCCGAAGCTAGCTAGCTGCTAGCTAGCAGCGTTGCTAAGCTAGCCAAATATGGCAAATGTTTTACTATAGGCCTCATTCGACATTAACTTACTAACTGGCACGACTATCACTTTTTTTTTAACACATTATTTATTTTCTAATATTAGAAATGACATGGTTGATCTTATAGATAACACTGCTTTATTAATTCCAACTGTTCTCCGTCCCAGGCCAAAGTGCGTCGAAATAAAATAACAGGCCCAAATGGAAACTCCCCCAACCTAGAACTTTAGGTATCATTAATCGTTTTGTGTTGTTTTTACGATACAGTTCACATTTATTTATCAACTATAATAGACTTTTAAACATCTTTTTCTATTTTATCTCGATTGTGATGGCATGGTAGACTGTAATATGTAGCAATTACATTTACAGATGTATAGTGTTGATAATAATACATTTAGATAAGAATAAAGTATATGTGCTGATTCCTCTGTGGGGTTTTATTCGGAACAAGGCCTCGGGTCCTTGACTCCCTGACTGCTGGCATTTCTATTTATATATTTAGCTGAAGACAAGGATGTAACAAGAGTACCTCAGTGATATAGAGAACGAACAGAAAAGCTCAGGAACACAACAAAGCCAGATTCATAGTCGGTCCAAATTATAACAAAGCTATTAAGAGAAATAAAATAAATTATCTATAGGCAGTGTTGTCAAAAGTACACACATGTTACCTAAGTAGAAGTATAGATACCGCAGTTTGAAAACACTGATAAAAGTTGAAGTATCAACTTGACCTCTTTACTCAATTAAAAGTGAAAAAGTTTGTGCTCCAAAAACTACTTAAAGTAGTTTAACCTTTAAAAAACCTTTAAAAAAACAGCCGGATGCCACTATATGAGTTGAAAGCTCTATTTTTTGACTATTTTGAAAAATTCTTTAATATAGGGCCAAGGATGGGTCTTGTTGGTCTCCCTCTCCATCTCCCGATACGCTATCGCCTGTGTCCAAATTTTCAAACAATTTTTCTGAATCTGACATTGTAGCTTGGCATAGACAATTCACGTTTGCAATTTGAAGAACACCTGCTTGCTTCTGATGATTTCCTTTAGCTAACCAATGAGTGTTTGCGTTATACGACTCATCCAATTTCACAAGTGTTCACTAGATGTGGATGGCGCCAATGATATGCATTGGATGGCGCACATGACGTGAAATAAATATTTATAAACATTAAACCGAAGCCAAGAGTAATGAGTGACGTTTGTTTTAAAAATGTAAGGAATAGAAAGTACAGATACTTTTGTGAAAATGTAATGAATAGAAGTCAGAAGTTGGAAGAAAAATAAGTAATGAAGTAAATTATAGATACCTAAAAAGTGTAGTTAAATACAGTAACAAAGTATTTTTACTTCATTACTTGACACCTCTGTCTAAACTGAAATGCAAAAGCACACTTGTCATCTGTGTTGTAGTTTATATTGATAAGAAAGGTTGGAGTCTATCTCCTGGATTTTGTTACTGCTCAAAATCCCTCTTGTGTAAAACATTTGCAGGAAATTATGTCTATACAAAACAAGTCTTTCTACAATGCATTATGTTCTTCCGGGACATACTTTAGTCGCAAATTTGAACCTATGAAATTAAACTAGAAGAACATATTTAACTTAATTCCCTTTGTTTTTACTTCTCATCACTAAACAGTAGATTGTGCCATTTTACGTGTGCTAATCATTTCAAATTCTTAGCTGTAAATCAAATTAGCTGTAAAATAACCACCAGTTGTTTACTGTTAATCTTCTGGGGGAAAAAATCATATATTTTTTTCTTTAAAATTATATTAAATCATAGTTGATTGTTGTATCAGTGTGTGCAACAGATGCTTGAGTCACTATTTGTAAGTATATAATATTTCAAGTTTGGAGCTTTCATGCTGTGCTTGTCTGTTACATATTTGACTGGTTGAATCAACTCTTAATCTCCCCTAATGGCTATGGCAGGTGCATTTCATTGGTTGTAATGATTCTAAAGCCCATATTAGGGTTATTATCACCCATTTCATTTCCACTGTTTTTTGCTATGTTGATTCTGACATCATGTAGTTTTAATTATCAACCCATCAATTTAATAAACATTTATTTTGATATAATAAAGCTTTTAATCATCCTTTGCTATATTAACTAAACCTAGAAGTGTGCGGATTCAATAAATTCCTGCATTTGAAGTAATTGATTCACATCAATATAAACCATAAACCCACCAAAAGTGGGTGGATTATAGAATTCCTTAGCAAAATAGATGGAGGTAATGCATATCGCTGGAGGGTTTTTAATTTAATGTATACAGTGATGACTGAACAATAAGTGGTATGCTCCCAGACCATATTCACTGAAAAAAATGTTTGCATACTAGAGATGCGCCCATTCAGATTTTTTTTCAGTCCATACCTGGGCTGAGAGTATTGGCTGATATTGATACTACTGCTGAATGAATGAACCGTACTTGCATGTGAGAGAAAACATCAGGCCTAACGTAAACAATGTCAAAACAAATATTGCAAACATGGTAGTAAAGTAACTATGGTGGTGAACTATATTAATAAAAAAAAGAAAGGACTGAATCAGAATGCTGGATCACTGTAGTCCATCCAGTATCTGATCCAGGTAATTAGTCAATATCAGGGTTGATATTTGATTCAGGTATCAGATTGGTAGGTTTCTATTACATAGCTATTGCTCCATCAAAATTGTTGTGTAAAAGCAGTATGACCTTCCTTTAGCCAGTCAGAAAAGATTCTTCAAGAGGTGCTTTTTCTGTCTCCTTAGAAAATTACTAAATGCCTGTGTTGTTTAAACCTCTTTTAAATACCTGAGAAATGGTAAAATGAATAAAGGTCTGGGGTTAAATCCTTTCTCTTTGGCTTGAACTGAAGTAGGCACGCAGTCAAACATAGGAACTCATTCATGGTTGTTTTTTGTGCATTTATTGTAATCATTCTTTAAAATCATTGCATAAGGAAGGGGTGAAATGTAATTATAATTTAAAAAAAACTATCTCCTGGTTGACTTTAAGCTTTTGATTAGACCATGACGGGAAGCCAAACATTCATATTTTTTATTTCTATTACATTTCACATCTTATCAAAAAAGAAGCCAAGGAATAACAACACTGAGTCATGATCATCTGACACAGGGCTTTATGCCAATAATACCTTTCTCCAATGCAGCAATAAGTCTAATGTTTGTGTATGTTACGGCTTTTTTGTATGCAGCATGAAAAATATTCAATTGATTTAAGAAGCTGGCAGTATTAAGCACAAACAGTTGCTGAAGTCATCTAGGAAACAAAGCCTAAAAAGGAATATTTTTAAGCACTGACCTTTAATGGTTATCAGTTTTGCTTAGTAGAAAAATCAAAGGGTCTATTAAAAATTAACCGTGCTAGCATTCATTAAAAGTTAGGCTCCTATAAATTTAAATTCTTGCCTCATACAAGGAATAAGAGATCATTGCTTTATTATTTAAAAGAAAAGTAATACACCAGATTTATTTTTTTTTTACCTGTAACTTTACATGTCTCGCCTCTCAAGGCGCGAGTGATAAAAGTATGTCTGAATTACATTTTTTATGTAAACAGGTTAAATATTGCATGAAGTCCGCTGTCAGGTATTTCAGTTGTTTCATCATATTATTTTCGTAGTAATAAGCTAAAAGAAATGAGCAGCAGTGTCCAGCATGTCTGCAGATCTTGGCTGAGTGTTGTAATTTCTAAAAGTTGAAAACTAACCACATTCTCCACACATTTTACCAAAGCATAATAGGGATGCACGATATTGGGATTTTGGCCGATATTTTAAAACTCATGTAGCCGATATCGATACTGATGTTAAAGCTGGACAAAAATAAGTAGTCATTGAAAATAACAGTTTTGTTATCAATTTCTGACACTTTGAAAAATAATATACTCAAATATGTTTTCATATGCTGATATCAAATTGATTTTTAAAAACGCGGTATCGATCTATTTTACTTTCAAAATCTCGTCAAATTTCATCGTTCTGTTACAAACTCTCGTGATATTTTGCAAATTCTTGTGAGATTTTGTTAGTAAAATAGATCGATACCTCGTCAAGATATCAACATATAAAAATATGGCAAAATTTCGTGAATTTTCGGGGGATTTCGTAGCATAACGATGACATATAGCAATATTTCATTAGTAAAAGAGATTGATATTGTGTTTTTAAATGGCAATATATCAGCATATGAAGATATTGTGATATTTTAATGTATCAATATTTTTTCCCTGTCTTTAGAAGTTTTTAAGTCTGTAAAAAAGAAGTTTTTGAGGAAGAAGAAGAAGTAGTATTTTTTTTTTAGACTTTAGAAACTCAGAAGCTGATCAAATATCGGGTTAAATATCGGTGGGGTGGCCGATGTCCGATATTCAGTTTTAAGGCCGATACCGATAGGGGGCCGATTATATCGTGCATCCCTAAAGCATAATATATATTTTTTTAACATACATTGTGTTTTTAAAACTTTTTGTATTGATGATAATTGAAATTAGATGTTTCTCTCCTTTTTCTTAAATTTGCCACGCTACAGTTTCTAAGAGACTCTTTTAAACCACAAGTGCCTTTCATTTGCATTTAGTTTTAATCTCTTTAAGTTTACCTTATTACTTCTACTGAGTCATATAGAAAACACTCCCATTTGGGTTTTTCGTTGGGTTAATCCTATTTTTTTTAATTTTTTTTTTTTATGGTCTCTCCCATGTAGCCACTGCTGAATGATTCATGGCTTTGTTCCTGGATGGGACCTTATTGAGTAGAAACATGGACACATCAAACTTTGCCCACGTCATCTTCCAGAATGTGGGGAAGAGTTACCTACCCCACGCTGCACTGGAGTGTCACTATACCCTGACGCAATTCATCAAACCACATGCAAAAGACTGGGTTGGCATATTTAAGGTAATGGAACCTCTTTGCTGTTTTTATGAATGCATTGGAACTGATGATAATTTAAGAAATAAAATCATTGTTTTTCTTTGCTAAAGTGAATTCTAGGGCTGAGGTGCAGCAGTCTTCATAGGTCTGTGTTCAAACAGCACACCTACCTCATATTTCTGGGACAAAGGGCAGGAAAAAAAGTTCCCTCCCTAACCAATGCTGCAAGAATTGCATCATTTTCTTTTTCCCAGGGAAAGGGAATACATTTTTCTTTTCTTGCAGAGTATTTGTTTCTCTTTAGTGTATGCCATGAAGTCATAGACCACAGATAAAGAGTAAATGATTTCACTAATGTTGAAAAAGAGTATTAAATTGGGCTTAATAAAATAGGAAATTTTGAGTGCAGCCATTCATGTTTACCTGAAAGATGAGCCTGGTCACAATGAGTAAAGCTCCCCACATGCCAAAGTGTCTCAGATGGATCTTATTATAGCAATATGTTGAACCCAGTGGCAGTCATTTACTTAAGTTTCATCAAAAAATTGTTTTTTGGTTTAAATATAATATTTCAAGGGGTGATTGTAGCAAATGAAACAAAAAAATAAGGATTAAAGAAGTGCTCATCAAAGCTAAATATGATATTTCATTTTCAAATGTTGTGATTAAACTTTTTGATGCCTCATGCTGGGTTAGAGGTCTGACCTCAGATCCTGAAAACAGAAATATATATTACATATATGGACCATGCAGTACCATGAGTGGCATATTTAATGAGATGCCAGCCATAAGAAGAGCAAACAAACAGGTAATTGAGCAGCCATTACGTCGACATTTGAGCCTCCAAGTACTAATAAAACACTATTTAGGCTTTGGGGATATTCCCTTAAATCTTTGACACACAAAGATGAGAAAATGAATCTAGTAAAAGGATTTTAAATAAACAATTTATGTTTTTTTGATATTTGCTGAGTAATTGACTAATAGGCACCCCTTCACTTGAGGTCAAAACAAACTTCGATTTTTTTTTTTTTTTTTTTAACATCAACCTGCACTGCAACGTGGGAGTGATCCATAAAGGATGGTTGTTCAGGAAAGGTTTCAGAGAAAACAAACCCAGCTTTATAATCAAAGTGTCTCTAATGACAGTGATTCATGTGTATAGGGCCCTCCTGGAGCACTGACACTATATCACCTCCTGCATTATTAGTCCCATAGTTTTCTAACCTGCCTGCTGATGTTATGGAGGTTGACTGACTCTGTTTACTACGGTACCCCTGATTGTTGATCTGAGGGTTCTGGCCGTACAGTGTGTATCTGTTATTTCTCATTTGTGCTCACCCCAGAATGCTTTAAGTTCCTCTCAGTTTTGCCCAAACAACACCTCTGCAGCTGTAATGAGTGGGCCAGTAAGAGCTAGCCCCTCAGTAATGACACTCCCTAACGAGGCGCAGGTTTTAATTGCTTCCTGTTCTTAACTGCTGCAGGCTGGGACTGCACGGGTAACAATTGGGGGTGTTTTTTGGAGCTCCAGAGCCCTACTATCTGTGGCTCTCTTGAACACTCGCAGCTCTTTAGCTGCAGGCTGTTTGCATACAGCTGAGAAAATAAATTACCCACGCAAGGAAAGAAAAAAAAAAAAGTTAGACTGAAATCTGTTGCTATGTTGGCTCTTGTGAATCACTAAAGTAGGTCGGTAAAGTTTTGACTGACTGGACAAAAAGCTGGTGTCTCAGTCTGGTTTTACAGGATTTGTTGCGGAAGCACGCCTAAAAGCAGCCCACTCAACCCGACACTGATCTGGTTTGACAGTTTTATAGCACCAGTCTGAAGTTGTGGATGTATTTTCTGCACCCCCCCCAGCAGACATCAGTTGACAACATATAAATTACATATAATTGCATTTTGGTTTTCATTTTCAAGCTTCCTATATATAAAATTTTCACCTATTTTCCTCTTCCTGGTAAAAGTGAGTTGTTGCTGCAGTACCTCTGTCAGGCTTTTTCACGATGAGGGTTAGCAGAGTGACCAGGAGGTGGTTGCAGGAATGACAATCTTTCCTCTTTAAGGGAAAATAGCATTGGTGACATCTACTTAGCCGCCATGGCAACATGGATTTAAAAACCCCATCATTACTTGGACATTGCAGCTTGAGATAATTTGGAAGTGCCTGCAGATTTACTTAAAAAAAAAATCTCCCTGTTGGTTCTTCATTGTTATTATAATGCAGTGATGTGGTTGGAGCGGCTGGTTAAACGGATTCCCCTCGATGTGTCACAGGTTGGTTGGAGCACAGCGAGGGATTATTACACATTCTTGTGGTCGCCTCTCCCAGAGAACTACGTGGAAGGCACAGCAGTCAACAGAACTGTGGTCTTTCAGGGTAAGTTTTCTGTAATTTTGACACGTTTTAATGAGCATATATGAAAGGGCTTTTCAGGGGATTGTGGAAGATTGGGGCTGAATTCTTCAGGGGAGTAAAATGCCACTCTATCCAACCACATCCACAGTTGTAGGAAATCATGTTTATGCTACTGGTAAACGTATATGTAAGAAGCCCCGTTTGTTGCAGTGAAATAATCTCAAACAGGTATTAGGTGTATATATATCGCAAAAAAAAAAAAATTCTACTTTAAGAAGGCATTATTTCATACAGGGTATGTAGGAGGTTGATTGCACTTGGAGTTTTGTCTGTTGATATTAATGTTGAAGTATGTTTATTTTATTATAGTTTGGGTAGGGGTACTTGAACTGTGCTGTTTAATCTGTTTTGTGAAAATACTGAAATTATGCAGAACAAACATTACACATTTTCAAACCTACTTTTTTTGTAGGTTTGAAAATAACAAGTACAAACAAATCACAGCATTGTAAAATAACAAATTTGGGTTAAGGACAAATATTTCTGTTCTCCATAACACAAATCCTTTAAAAGCAGTACTTAGATGGGGTAATGTTTAATGTTAAAACAAAGCCAAATATTATGATTTATTGAGAATATTTGCTATTGTTTGCTCAATTTGCCTCTAAGGGGCACAACAGGTTCAGCAGACAGAAAAGTAAACTAGCAGTGGATTCAAATGTGTTTGAATCTACGCAATCACTTAAGTAGCTCGAAATGTTTAGAACAGTTGTTTATTTGTCAAGTAGAAATAAAAAGTACAGTGCAATCAAAGTACTTGTGGAAAAATAAAAGGTTTACAATTAAGTCTAATTTATTTATGATTTTCAAGTTAATCAATGTCTTCAAGAACCTCTAACTAGTTATCTATATATTTTTTATTCAGGGGTATAAATATGTTGATTATATGGCTGAAAATTATCTATGTATTTTACCTGCGTCGGAGCAAGCTCGGCAGCCCATCATGTGTGTCAATTTCCATATGTGCTTACACTGGGTTTATCAGACTTTGGGATAAAACATCTGATTAATTGTTAACTAGAGTATACAGTCTCTTATTCCTTTAGCTAAAAGAGCAACCCAATCAAAGCAGTTATTATGGATGAAAAACCTTTTTTGTCCATTAATATGTTCTGCAGTTTTAGCTGCACTTTAAATTCTGGGTAAAATCTTCTTTGTTGAGGAAACTTTTGTGATCTGATTATTAATGAATTAAATAAAAAAAGAATCTACAGATTAATTGATTAGTACAATAGTCATTAGTTGCTGCAGCCTAATAGGAGTGTGTTTTGATTAATTCTTTTGATGCTGCCGATGTATGCTGACCCCGGTGGGATGTTTAGAAATGATCTCTGAAGCTCAGTTTCAGAGAAATGTGAGAGAGATTAGCGACGTGGTTCTAAAGTCATCCTAATGACCAGCTCTGTGTTAACCAGCTGCCTGGGAGGGAGCAGGGAAAAAAGCCTTTCCCTCCCTACCAACACAAACATAAAGACATTTGCAAAGCTCTACTGGGATTTTGGACCAGAACCATGTTTTTTTTGGTCTGATCAGACTAACCGCTCTTAAACAAAAGATTATTTAGCTGTCTCCTTGGATCTTTTAAAAGGACCAATGCAGCAGTGGGGGGGGATCAGACCTCTCCCTACCTCTGTCATGCCTTTAGCTCTGCATGCGAGGTAGGTAAATGTCCTCATTGGCTAATTTTCATAGTGAACATCTGGCTTCATTGGTTCATTGGCTGAAGTAGTGCTGCAACAATGACTTCCCGTTTTGTGCAACAAGGGAGCCACTGAATTTATAAGCGTAACTAGGTTATTTCTGATGATGTAAAAAGGTGACATAATTAACGTTGAAGCCTTTGCTCAGTAGCTTCCACAATAGCTTCCTCAGATGTTGTTCTGTGTGGTGATTTGGATGCTGAGCCAAACCAGCCTCTTTGTCATCCTCATGCCAGTTATTCTCACTCACAGCTCTGTGGGATGTCACTGTATCCGCTTCTGATTTATGAGTCGTCAGTGGGAGCTCAGAGCTTGCTTTCCGTTGAGGGTTTATGAAGGAAATGATTTATGATGTGTTTGGTTTAAATTGAAGAACAAAAAAAGAACATGATGCCTATTGTTGGGTGTGGTGGAGAATCTGTGATGCTGTGGGCCTGAAGATTCCTGGAAGCCTTTTAGAGAGTGTTGCATTCATCACACCTGGGAGGAACCAGATTCGGCAGTGATCTCGAGATGGTTAAAGAAAAAAAAGAACGGTCAGATGATCCTGAAATATTTTACCAGAAAAAAAGTGTTTTCTTGTCAAAATAAAAGTTATATTTCAGACACCATTGAGATCAATGACAGGATTGTTCTGTTCTCCACACCGTTGAGTGTTGGAACAATTTCTTACACTATATATTTCCTCTATTGGACTCAACAGACATGAAGTGGAATAAAGAAAACATCTCAGGCTTGGTTTCCTGTTGAGATTCAATGTCACAACTTCACATGTAGTTTGTGTTCAACAGCCTAAGGTCACCAAATGGCATCTGCTTTTAGAAAATAGAATTGGTTAAGGGTCGTAAGTAGAAATAGTTACCTTTCCATGCTGCTTTAGTGACTGGATGGCTTTCCTCCCTAGGTTACTATGTACCCAACGATGATGGTGAGTTCTACCAGTTTTGTTACGTGACCCACAAAGGAGAGATCCGGGGTGCTAGCACCCCTTTCCAGTTCCGTGCAAGCAGCCCCTCAGAGGATGAGCTGTTGACCGTGGAAGATGAATGCAACTCTGACATCCTGGTAGTCACCACCAAGGCTGGCTTGCTTGAGGTATAGTAAGATTTAAATCTGCTGCCGCCCTTCAGACCAAAACTGCTGTAAAATGCTAACTAGCATTTTAACATTTGCCCTTTTTCATGTTTGAGCAGCAAAAAGTGGAAGAAGTTCAAAGAGAGAAAGATGAACTCCTCAAAAACATGGCGCTTATTCAGCAGGAGAAGGAGCAGCTGGAAGCAGAGAAAGAGAGTCTGCAGAAGGAGTTTGAGCAAGAGAAGGAGAACTGTGCCCAGCTGAGAAGAGAGATCCAAGTAAGTTCAGACTGTTTATCATCGGCATGTGAATACCAGCTCTAAGGACATTACTTATTCTCCTATCTATTCAATGAAACCAAAAACTCACCTTTAATTGTGAGTTACAACCTTAAAGAAGCTGCAGATTCTAAAAGGGGTTATTTATATGCTAGTTCTTTCTGTCTTTGACCTCTCATTATTTCTTTCAATACAGGCCAAACAGTGTGCTAGCACCCCCTAGTGAAGCAGCCCAAACATGCAGCATAACTCAAACCAGCAATAGTAAATCACATGCTGACAAATAGAAATGCCTGCATTATCAAGGTTGTCATTCCACTTTTTATAGCGTAACATTAAGTCCTAAGAGCATTGTCAGTAATAATCTAGTGCACCGCTGTGTGTCATAAATCCGCTGCGTTTAAAGGATCTACAGATGTAAATATGATTACAGATTTTGTGGTTGTTAATTTTACGGCTTTACTTTTATATGAAATTTTTATGTGGTGTGAATATAAAAGATTCCAAAACTCGTCTCATAAGCAAATTGTAAAAAAAGTTTTTTTTTTCTTTTTTATGTCATCTTCAAAGTTTATAACTCTACATGTAGCTTTAACTTTCTTTAATGATTTAGGCGTTTTTATACCTTACATACATTTTCCAGACTTCAGCCATTTTAGGTTTTTTATTAATGTAGATTTGTAGTACAAACTAAATGACAGAGCCTGGCTTTATGTCACAGTTTAGCTTAGTTATTGTATTCAGCCTCCTTTTGCTTTGTGTTCGTAGGATCTCCTGCTCTCCTCTCAGGCCCTTCAGGAGGAGAAGGAGGAAGTCAAGAGGAGACTGGAGGAGGCCACAGATAGAATTGTTCAGCTGGAGGAGGACCTGATCGGCGTCACACAGAAAGGCCTTCAAAAGGAAACGGAGCTAGACAGGTGACTGGTTGAATATTAATCCAGACGTCCATAACTTTAAAATGTTATGTTTTATACAAATGTGTGCTTTTTTTTTTATACAGTCTTAAAGATCGATTGAAGAAAGTTGCCGTAGAGAAAGAGGCTCTTGAATCTCACCTGAAGAATGAGAAAGATGAGAAGGAACTCTATAAGGTGAAGTTTGATTTTTAGAAGTAACGCCTCAGAGATATGAGTTGTGTTTTTTTTTTTCAGCCAGATACCTCTATGTCACCCCTCAGGTTTGTTAGAAAACTTGGCAGCTTTACCATTTGACTCATTTACCGTGTTATTGTAGATACATCAGACTCAGACGCATACTTGATCTTTTTCTGATTCTTCCTGTTTTTCCATTTTGTGCTCCTTAATTGATTCTGTGAAGTGGAACGTTTGACTTTAAATGAGGCATGCATAATTCGGTTTCCTAGTCCGTCTAGTGTTTGCGTGTCCTGTGTTGTGGTGGGCGCTGTACAGGAAGTGGGAGGGCCACTGACTGTAGAGCTGCCACAGAAATGGAGCCCAGAACCCTGTATCTAATTTAACTTTCACCATTACACGAGATGTTTCTAAAGGACCGCTTTAAAGGCCTATCTTAATATCTGTCTCTTTATTTTAATGAGGTCTCAAAAGTGAGATTTATTAGCAGGTTTCCGACATGTTTTGAGAAAAAGGACCCTTTGGTGTTACTGGTTTGAACTCTCTGATCTGTCTTAGACCTGGGGCTGGTATCCTAAAGATTCCCACTCCTCACTCCTCCAATCTTGGCTTAAAAAATCCCTTCCAAGGAGTTTTAACTTAAGAGTGATTCATATTGTTGCTCAAGGGAACTGGGAATAATGGCAGGAGGGGGTGTGACATAGTCATAGTTGTTGGAAGCAAAAACATTTAGTTCATAGAATAGACAAACATTGCATTGAAAATGCAAAAAAAATAAGTTTCATAAGAAGTTTAACGGAAAAAGAAAGTCTGATAGAAAAAGGTCCAAAACACATTGCTGTGGAATTATTAAGGGAAGCACGAGCATGAGTTTAAATTGACTGTCAAGGCTTGGGATGGAGGTGAAATATGGGTTTTAGGACCACCTGGATGTCAGCTCCAGGATAGGCTACAGCTCTTTGCCTTTTTAATTGAAACTATCATAACAAATAAAATTTTTGATCATGTTATAACTTATTAGGATGCAGCTTTTGAAAGTGAACTGTTTCACCCAGATCTCATAAATCCAATGAGATCTAACCTCAAGCATATTTAGGTTTTCTGTTTTGATATTTAGTTTATCTAAAAGTTACGTTTTTTCTCAAATGTCCGATTATAAAAAATATGTGAACAAATTGTCTAGATTTCAGTCTGACACAGCAACATTATAAGGAGCTTGTGTCAATTTAATTTCAGAGTTTTCTTGTGAAGCTTTTTATACATAAAGCAAAGTTTGGTAACACTGCCTCTCTTGTGCATGTGTTTGGCTTCTTGATATTCATTTTTGTGCATGCATCAGATTCACCTGAAAAACCGGGAGCTGGAAAATACTAAGTTGAGTGCAGAGCTGCAGATGCTGAAGTCCGTGGACGTAAACAAGGAAAACACCATTGCCCAGTTCAAAGAAGAGGTGGGACGTCTGCAGGCATGCCTTACAGAGAAGGAAAAACAGTACAAGGAGGTTCTGGCCAAAGTTCACCCCCTGGTAGGAATTTCTTTACTATTTTTGTACACAAATAACATCAACAGTATAATATGACACATAGCTTTGGATTTGTATCTAGAGGAACCAATCTAGATTTTTTCCCAATCGATGCTGATACCTGGCCTAAGCATATCAGCCGACTTCTCTGATTCAGCTGCTAAATGAATGAACCATATATCTAGCCATATAATTAAAGGCTTTAGCCTTTTAACATTGTTAAAAAAATAACATATTAACACAGATATAAATATAATTATTAACAAATATGCCAGAAAAAGAAAAAAAAATAACAATTATATGTAAAGTGCTCTGGACTGTATCTCAAACCACCGATATCTGTTCCAGCTAATTGGTTAAAGGGGTCATAGAATGCAAATCAGAGTTTACATTTTCATAGATGAATAATCATAGTTCAGTGGTTGAAATGGATGTACAGAGAAGTTCAAATCCCATCTACACCTCCTTTCTCTGCAAATCTCACAATTCTAAACTTCCACCATAAAACGGGCAAATTCAGACGAAGCACTGATTTGACGTAAACTCGGGGATGTTGTTATATTTGGTTCTGGCCTGTACTTTTGTCACGCCCCGAAATTGACATACAGACCAGCCCACTGGTCACCTATAGTGTTCCAATGTTCGCAGTGTTTCAGGCTTCACAGAGAAAGTGGAAAATTTTCAGTCTTCCAAAGGATACCAAGACTTGACAGGTATGGATTATTGTCTGTTAGAAGATCCCTGCAAAGTTTAATGCTCAGCTGTTCATTTGCTCTAAGCATTTTACCGAAGACAGCTTTCAAAATCTTGGACAGTTCAAAGCAGGATTTGCTAAACGTTGGGAAAAAAAGGACGTCTGGTCACTCTACCATATCAACAATTCGATGTTTCAGTGAGTGAGCGCTTGTTGCTATGATTCTTCTTTGCTCAGCATCTTTGCTCATTGTAAACCAACCAATCAACACACAGCTCATCTAAATATTCATGAAAATACCATAAAAGGAAGAAAACCTGTCGTTTCCTTCTGGGGCTCTTAACCAAGCTTGCATTAGGGCTTATAGAACAGCCATTTTCAGCCCAACCAATGTTACACACCCTATTCAGAAACCCTAAGGACCAGCACCAAATACCCGATTTAATCATTTCGTGACCCCTTTAACATCTGAGCCAATATGTGATCCAGGTATCAGATCGGTGCCTCACTATCTTTAACTATTAAGTAGTTATTTTCAGCATCACATTCGATGTATCATCTTAGCATGATAACATTGTTTGGGTCTAACAGGGTGACATGAAAGCCCTGAAGGAGCAGCTTCGCCAAAAAGAAGAGCAGCTCCAGGCCAACCATCAGCAGTCTACTTTGCTGTCTGCCGAGCTGAGGGATGCCTCCAGCGCACGAGACCGCACCATGTCCGAACTGTACCACATGAAGCTGGAGGCGGATGCCCTCCGCCAGGCCAAGGCTGAAGCTCAGGCCCAGTGTGTCCGTCTGGAGCTTATCGTCGAGCAGATGAAGGCAGACGCCAAACAGGAAGCGGTGGGTTTAAGGGTTGGAAAGCGTTTAAATTTTATATATTTTTTTTTTTATAAAGAGGATTGTTCTCATTTAGTGATTAACTTTAGAATAGTCTGGTATTCCACCTACAGATACAGATTTTGATTAATTTAGAAGAGAGAGAGACTGAAGCACTGATCCTAATCTGACAGATTACAACTCAAACATGTGAGACATTAAATGAATAGTGAGAAAAAAACAACTTTTTTGTATCTGTCAGCTCATCCCTAATCAGAGCCAACAAAATCTATTGTTGCCATGCAAGTTTAGGACACCTCCACTTTATGATACTTTTTATTTGTATTATTTCCAGTTTTCTACTAAAACTATTTTCTGTTTCATTTACAAGTTATGTTAAGTCTTGCCGGATGTGTGAAGCAGATTAGACTCTTTCATAAAAACTGAAAAAATCATAATTATTAAGATGACATATTTTTACTGTTGACATTCCTGTTACAAAATGAAATTAGCCTTAAAACCATACAATATGTAAACTGCAACATTAAAACTCTCAGATGCTCAGTTATCAGGACAACATGCAACAAGCTGTTATTGGCTAACGCTAAGTTAACTTAGGTCAGGTTTGTGTCTTAAAGTTCTCTATCCTCTCATGTTCTTGAGACGTTCACCTCCTCGGAAGGCTTTTATTTTGGAGGCAGTTCAATGAGTTTCTACTTTGTAAGCTGTAAAAGCATAGCACATAAACCCAGATATACCTTCACAATAAAAGCTTTGAGCATAAATATTCTGTGCTGAAATCAAACACATTTTTGTCCACGATGTCCCACAATAGAGGATGGTTATCAAATTTGTGAGTAAAACTACTCATTTTAATCACTATTATTATATGTCACAATCTAGCTGTTGGATTCAGTTCAAGTAGTACTGTTCTGCATTTTAACACATTCTAAAAAAGCTATAATAATGCCACTTTGCTAATAGGGATCATATTGTTGTCTGAAGTCCTGATTTAAGATTATTTCTAAAGTAGAAAAAAGGTAGCATTTTAGCTACCTTTACATTATTTTCATGCATATTTCTGTACAATAGTCCATTAGCCCATAATTTTTGTGTCTGTTTTGTTTTTTGGAAAAACAGGCCAAACCAGAGGAAGAAGCTGCCACAGACCCGGCTGTTGTAGCGGAGCTTCAGAGAGAGGTGGAGGACCTGAAGCTGCGGCTGCTCATGGCTGCAGAGCACTATAAGGAAAAATACAAGGAATGCCAGCGTCTGCAGAAACAAGTGCTTAAGTTGTCTGACCAGCAGGGGGTAGGTTCCTATAGAAAATAACTTGTTTTTTTATTTTTTCATTTCTTCGTGTGCTGTATTGACATTTGTTGTTCTTACAGAAAGCATTCCCTCTTTGTCTAAAAGGATGCTGGGTTTTGTCTTTTGTTCTGTTCATAGGAGGTGAAAAAAAGCACAGTCCCAGAAGCTGCAGCAGTCCCTGCATCAGGGAGTCCAGAAACATCAGTGCCAGGTATTTATATCCAGTTCTGTCTGGTTGTGTGGAAGAAAGAGTTGTTTCAAATTAGGGAAACAAAACAAAATTCTTTAGAAAATGTCAAATTTAATTACTATACATGTTTTCTGTTTTTACCCATTCAAGTACATTTAGGTAAAGCTTCTATAAACTGGAAATCAGCTGGCCTTTATATTTTAGTCATTCCTTTATTTGCTTCCCTGTCTCCACAGGCAGCCCAGGTTCTGCTGATCCCATGTTGGAGGCCATCATCCAGGAGAAGCTGAAAGGCATCAGCCGAGAGGCGTCGGACAGAAACGACAAATACAGGAAATGCAGGCAGATGCTGATGGTACGAAACGCCTTTCTGGTTTCTGTCCAAGCATGTGGTGGTCCTCTGTAGTTCGGGGAGAGGACAATGTCTGCTGCAAGCGGCTGATCAGCATCCGTTTGTTGTTTAGGAAGAAAAGGAGCGCAGCAGCATGTTTGCCGACGAGCTGGCCAAGATGGAGCTGAAACTGAAGGAGCAGCTAAAGACCAACGAGAATCTAAAGCTGCAGCTGGCTGCCGCAGAGGACCGTTATAAGGTCAGACTCCCAGCGTCAACTGGTGCCTTCAAAGCAGTTCTGTCTTCAGACCTGACTCTGTTTTTACCACCGTGAGTGGCTGGTCTAGCTCAGGGATGGAGACTTTGATGCTCTCTCTACCCCTTGAACACAGTTTGCTCTGACAGTGTTGTTTATGAGCAGGCCTATCTGTGAGACGGCAGTTTACTGCTGTTTATGTCAGGCTCTGGAGACAAGCAAGGCTTGGCTCAGAGGAATCCTTTCTAGTCGCACTGCTAATGCTGTGCTTGGCTCGGTCAGGCGGATATTTGCTCAGTGTCTCAGGAGAATTCAAACAGGTTGTTTTGCTTTGAGGAGTATCGAGCATAAATCAGCCCCCAGCTAAAGGAAACCGTTTATGCTTGTGATCAATTAATGTCACATACCGAAGCCTGACTGTATTTCAGGGAGACTTTTATTTTTTTAGTCCGGAGCGCATTAAATGAGATAAGATTATTCTTTTCATTCCACTGCTTTTGTGTCTATTGTTTACCACAGAGTCAAGTAGCTGAGAAGGGTCGGGAGCTAAAGGAGCTGAGGGACGCGTTTGCACTTGTTATGAAGGAGAAGGAAAAACTGGAGGGGGTTTGTAACATCTCTCATTTTCTCTTTTCTAGACTCCAGCCACCGCACACTCCCTAAAAATACCACATCACTACCATTTAGTCCGGCTTTAAAAGGCCACTAATTGGAAATGCAAATTAAATGTTGTCCATGTCATTGGTTTGTTCCACAGGAAGCTCCTCACAGCTCTAATATGATGCTTTAAGTTAGAGCTGGTGAAGCTCAGAGGGGTGGATTCAACCCGTTTGAGGTTTAGACACTAAATTAGTTTGACGTCATTAAACACAAAATGGTTCCAGCCATTTTGAATCAGCCCTCTTTCTTAATCAAGCTGCTAGCTAAGCTGATTGTGTGAGCAAAAGCCTCACTTTAAGGAAGAAGATCCCCAATATCATAATCTGAATTTCTGTAACAGCTTGTTAGGTTTCTAGGTTGACAAAAAGAACAAATTCCTCCATTTATTTTGTGCATTTATTTTGCGTGTTTCCTCAGGAGTTACAAAAGAGTAACAGCAAGAAGGGCGACCAAGGTGCCAGCGAGAAATCCAGTGTGGAGAACCTCCAGACCAGTGTGCCTTTAATTCTTCAATACCCTGTCCCTTATGCCCAGGATAGCCCCACCCCCCTGCTGGTCTCTCAGAGCCCAAGCAAGCTACACTTTGGGAACCCTTACTCTATCTCAGACTCAAAAGGTAAACAATTATTTGAAAGGAAAATCTAACTGTTGGATAAAATGAGATATTTCTGTGAACAGTGTTTGAATTATGTATCTGTAGACGAGATAGAGGAGGAGCTTTTAGATGATCAGCCTCTCAAGCTGCCCCCTGTGGGCCCACCATCCTGGGACAGCAACGTGGTCTGCATCCAACCCTCCCGCAACCTCAGCCGACCAGAAGGACACGAGGAGGCAGAGGAAAACAACAACGTAAGCCACTCTTCCTCTGCAGGCCAGAATCAGACTTTACAGTACAAAAAATAATTTGTTTTGTGATTGCTTGTCACTGGAAAAGAGTCAAAATAAGTTCCCTTTTTACACAAGTCATAGAAAACACTGCAAACCTGTGGAGTAAGGTTTCGGTCTTGTGTGCAGTACACTATATATGCTCGGATTGCAATAATGTAAACTTACTGTTAATTCAGTTATATTTTAAAAGGTATACAGGTGTTGGTTAGGATATAAAAAAAACAATCAAATTCTAAGATATGATAAAACCTTGTGACATTTCCAGCATTTAGGGTCTATGTTTGATAAATATCCTATCGAAGCAAGTAAATAATCAGCTTATCACCAACCTTATATAGACCAGTCCTACTATAGAAGAGCTAAGCTGGCAGAGGCATTTTAATTGGACTTACTGCTGTGGTCTCTCTCCAAAGAGGCTTTACCGACTGATTTAGATTTTTGTAAATACAAAAACGAAACACCTAAGTGATCGTTTTTTATAGAAAATCCTAATAATTTAAAGTTTGTGGTATCCATATAACATGAAGTCAATATCTTTAAGAGAAATCATCTCTTTAAAGTGACTGTTGCAATCCAGAGGCATTTTATTTTAGTGTTTATTTGTTTTTTCCTCCAAGGGTAACACCAATGAACAGCCACTAGCAACAGAAACCCGGAGCTCATATGTGAGCGATGGACAAACCCCCTTCTGCTTCGACTCCAGGTAACACCCTTCTCCCGCTAAAGCCGTCCATGTTTACCATGCCTCAGCTTTACTCCGCTTCTGTAAAGTAGTCAGCAACACCCCCACCCTCCATTTGTGTTGGTATTGTTGACGAGCAGGCCACCCACATCGCATCAAACAGACGTTCTTCATTAGGTACTTTTTGGTTGCTCAACTGCTGTTAATATGAGCGTTCTCTTCCTGTCTCCCTGTTTTTTTTTTTCCTTCCCCCGCCTCCCGCCGTGATCAGCATGGACATGAAACGTTGTCCGCTCTGCGAGGTTATCTTCCCACCCAACTACGACCAGAGCAAGTTTGAGGAGCATGTGGAGAGCCACTGGAAGAGCTGCCCAATGTGCAGCGAGCAGTTCCCGCTAGACTGCGACCAAAAGGTGTTTGAGAACCACGTGCTCACTCATTTTGATGGCCACCAGCTCAACTTTGACTAAAGGAACTCAAAATCAGCAAATCGACTCTGCAGACTGAAAAAAATCACTTTAACCTGTCTTCTGCATGTAGTGGTGTACGGCTCCTCTCTGTAGAGCTAATTTACCCTTTGCTTTCTGGATTTTATTTAGCGTGTTTGACAGGGCTTTTAAATCAGTTGCAAATCAATATTTTGGTTTATAGTTTAAATGTGTCCCTTCTTTGAGGGGTTGGAAAGACTTTGGCTGTCTAATTCCATTGATTTTAAAATTTCTTTCATGGATTTGTAACGCTGCTGGGTGGAAAAAGTCAGGGACATAAATAAAAAAAGTTGTGTTTACCAAACATACATTTAACATATGCCCCTCCCCCTTTAGTGTATCTGTACAGCTCATCGATCTGCCGCCATAGAAAGCCGCCTCAGCGCACTATATACAGTCAGGGAGAAATCTTCAGTAACTATACCCACACTAGAATATACAGTATATCATCAGATCATCTATTTTAGAAAGATTCAAGGCAATATTGTGAGCGCCTTTATACTTTGTGTAATATGTCGATTTTTAATTAGCTAAGTTTCCTTATTGTTTTAATTCTAATTGTCTAATCAGTGCATGCTCAGCTTCTGTTCAATTTCATTTACTTTTCTTTTAAGTCATTAAGTTATTTCCTTCATTAGTTAAGTGAGTTTCATGTATCTAAACAAACTAATAAAGTTGCTTTGAAATTGAATGTGTGATAATTAATGAGCAGGAGTCAGAAGTACAGGTGAACTTTTAATGTAAAATATACCAGCAGAAATACAGTACAGCACCACTTCTGGTTGGGTTTATACCTTTTTTTTTTCTTGCTATACAAAAACAGAAAAATAAATGTAACACTTAAAAGGTGACGATACATTCACCGTTCACAATATATTCATATACTGACGGTACAATACAGCCACAATCCTTTTGGGGTTTGCAGATCTCTCACAATCTTATGTAGGATGTGCAGATTTTATGCAATGGCACCAGGGATGTTTGGACGCTGCATTATGCAAACGGAATGGCAACTCATTTATATTCTTATATGAAAATAGAAATGTTTTGACATGACATGGTTGCATGAACACTGAGTAGGACCGTCGGTGCACAGTTTAGCAGCAACAACAACGACCCTAAGCTCAGAAGGCTGAGGAACAGATTCCAGAGAAGGCCGCTCCTTTCAGACCAAACTCATTTAGAACAAAGCAAAGGATTGCAAAAATGAAAGACATAAGGGAAAGACACTATCTGATCAGAAACCAGTTGGAACACCAGTGTCAGATGGTTTGAGTTCATTACTGCAATAAGAAAAGGCGATATTGCAGAAGTTGACCCATTTGGGCTTTTAATTTGTTTTAAAGAAGTTTAACTTTTCTTGTATCTATTAAAGGGGCCCAAAGCAATAGTTTGGCAGAGCTACTGCTCATACTCAGTCCAGACTATGTAACTGATGCATTTTAGACATATATATTTTTCTTTCCTTTTTTAAAACTCACTCAAAAAGCAAATGAAGCAAAAAATATAAAATTGACACTTAAGGGATTTTCTGGCAGATTATCAATGAACCAGAAATGCTCTGGTTTATTTATTCATCTCTTTAAATAAAATTCCTGACATTTATTCAGTGACTAGCTAAGTACTATTAATGGAAAATATACTGGATGAGGTAGAGTGAAATGAAGCCTCTTGCCTTCCCAGAGAACTGGCCTCAACTCTACAGAGTATTGGAAATAACATATTTAAATGAACTCTGCAAAAACAGGCATTACTTATCTTGCTAGAATTATGAGGTTCAGGTACAAAAACATATGGAGTTCAGCATCTAAAGCTGCATGTTTGAGAATTTATTTTTTTTTTTTTAAATCTTGTGAACCTGTTATTTTTAAGAAAGAAATTGTGGAAAAAAAAAAGTTTCCTGGAAAATAAACGAGTGCTTCGAAAAATCAAACATTGTTATTCTGGCATCTTAACGTTTTTCTTTAACCTTTTTCAACCAAAACAGTATCTGACAAATAAAGAGGATGAAGACCAAACAGATAGAAGGGGACATTCATAGCTGTACTGATTGTGTTTTTTGGAATGGGAAACAATTTAAGGCAATTGCTGAACCTAAGGAAAGTGACAATACCAAGACTTAAAGGGTGTTTATCCAATAACTAAATCTAGAAGAAAAAAAAATGATGCAGGGAAAAATAGTCATTTAAGTATTTGCCTGAAAAGTGCTTTATTAAACTGGAAAGCTAGAAAGGGCAGCTGCTTGGTCTTAAAGAAAGTAATCAGATATAAAGTAAAAAACACTTACGGTAAAATGTTCTTACATTCCCACTGAAGAACATCGACCCATTTACCTTCAGGAGCTGAAATGCTTGCAGAAAAATCCCCTGAGATCTTTTGGAGAAATTTTTGTTATATAAAACTAAAAGTCCCTTTTTTAAGACACAGCAACTCACCATCCCTAGTGCGGACACATGTTCCACTTGTATCTGTCCCATTTCATGCCTGCTGTGACAGGGAGGAGGACGGTGCTTCCTTTCAACAGAAAACCCGAGCTGTCATTCAGCATAAGGAAGAATGCCATACTGCAAATGTAAGACTATGCATGTCCTGACCTTTTCTAAAGTCAGCATGATCAACAAAAATAAGTAAAAGAAAAAAGGTCAGCTGAAAGATATCTGACATGTGCAAAAATACAAAATGTAAACTACATAAATATGTAGCTTTTTCAAAGGAAATGATGGTTGATTAATACAAACGTGCTGTGCAATTAAAACACACTAGTGTTGTAACAAAGTGGAATGAAGGCAGAAGAAAACGGCATGCTGCTGCTGCTGCTGCTGCTGATGTGTATTTTAGATGGGGGTTTATATGGCCTGAGGGGTGAAAGTGCTGGTCATCCACTCCGCCTCAGCTACTGCTGGATCTTGCGGAGGACGTCAGAGGAGATGGGTGAGTGAAAGTTGATGGTGTGGTGCCGGAGACCCTGAGATGTCTTGTAACTCTTTCCACAGCGGCACTTGAAAGGTTTGCGCACCCTGATCTGGGTTCGGTGGCCGTTCTTGGCATGGTACTTGATGCCGTTCACGTTCTGTGATGAGACCAGAATTCTTTTATAGTGCCATCCATTCAGAAATTGCATTATACATGAAAAAAGGTATTACTGAACTATTACGAGTGCTGTAAATGAAGAACATAGTTTTTTGTTGTTTTTTGTTGTTGAAGATTTTAAAAAAATGAATGCTGCAATTATTTTAGATACAAACGCAATAGTAAAATAAAAAGTTGAACACATCTTCAAATCACATCCTATTTATCTGTTCTAATGTAGAACTAAACAACCAAGCTGAATCCGATGTTTCATTGTAGGCAAAAGCAGATATCGTCCACAAATACTTGACATATGAGGTATTGTGTTGCATAATTTCTGGACCAAAAAAAAATAGAGTCAACAGAAGGCTTGTTCTGCTCCTTAAACAGATGCCTGCTGCTGCCTTAAGCTTTAGTCATTGCCTATAACTCTGTCATTCACGTCAGCAAGGCAATTTTCTCAGGCTTTGCAGAATTTATCCTAACCACACACACCAGATGTGGGCGGAAAATCCTATAAAACTTCATATCACTGAGGGGAGGCTGGATGTATGCCTTTAGGTTGGTCCACTGCCCAACAAAGAAGCTATTTTCCACACTCTCCCCCTCATTGTCATGTATATAAAACTATAAATATATAAACAGTATACAAATTAAACATTATTCCCAAGTAGCCAGACTAGTGTGCAGAAAGAAATAGAATATAAAATGGAGACCCCCTACATCAAACTGGGAATAACTTCCTAGGGGGGCGGAAGGTGAACAAACTACAGGACTTCCAGATACATACAGGCTGAGCGGTAAATCAAACCAACCGGGCATTGTGGGCCATAAAACGTATTGGAGCTAGAGACAAACTGGCAGTTGAGCCCTTAGTCATTAGAGCACTTGTGGAGATCACCCCAGCAGAGAAAAATGTGTCTCAAAAGGATATCAGGAGAAACATCAGAGACCTGAGTCCAAGTAACAAGACCTCCTTCCATGATGTAAAAAAAAAATGTTGAAGACTGAAAACCCCATCCCAACTATTAAGTACTGGGTATCAGGATCATGTTGTGGGGTTGTGTTTTAGTAACTGATGCACAGATATGGATGGTAACTAGTTACGTTGACTTGAGTAACTTTTTGAAAAAAAAATTTTGTTTTCGTTGTTCGTTTTCCGGATTTTTTGTTTTTCTTTTTGTTTGGTTAAATTTTTTGGTTATTTTTTTTGTAGTGAGTAACCTCACTTAATAAAAACTAGCATGTTTCGTTCAAATACGCATCAATTAGAGATTCCCTTTTTTGTTATTTTCCATTTGCTGAGTCTGCCATGTCATTCGGAGGTTGAGTGAAACTTCATTCATCTTTGTAATTTAATTGAACCTTTTCTACATGCTGTACCTGTTGCTTTTTTAATTTTTTATAAAGAGTGTTCATCACATATTGTGTAATTACTATATGTTATATAACTATCTTTATCGTATTCTTTGAAACACCAGAATATGCATATCACTTAATATTTGGTTCAATTTTACATGATTTTATAAAATATTAAATCAATTGCTATGAGCATGGGTATTAAGTAGATCAATTACTCAGTACTTGAGAAGCCCTTTAACCAAATACTGTTTTACTACTCGAGTAATTTCTTTAAAAGCAACTTTATCACTAAGATAATTGTTTATTCTAGATGTAAGAAAATGTCTCTTTCAACTGCATAAACATCTAAACAGGCCTTCATCTATGGTTTTATATTTCTCTCAGTTATTTAATTGCATTGCATGCAGTAAGGTTTAGTAAAACAAAACCAGATGACTAAAATGCAGCTTCAAGTCTTGATAACAAATGGATAAAGCACACCTTATATCTTTTCTTACAGCCAGGAACGGGACAGGCAAAAGGCTTCTCGTCTCCTCCATTCATGCACATAGAGCTCAGGATAGAGTCAGAGCTGATGGCACTCTCTGTGGTCCACGATTCGTCACTATCAGAAGCCTCAAACTCGACATCCTCATCATCACACTCGCTACCTGTGGGAATAAGGAGATTAAAGATCAAAAAGAAGGCAAATATGTCATTAGGATTCAGAGCAACTGATTTGTGCCCATTGAATTCCTTGAGGCATTTAAATCTCAGCCCTTGGGTTTCAGTCTGACAAACACCAACCTTTCTCACCACCAGTTTTCCCATACTCTTCTCTTACTAAATTAAAATTCCAAATTTTTAGAGGCACTGAAATCTGCCAACTGTGGGAAAGAGTCTTAGGTCAGGAAACATCTTGTTTATTGTATTAATTAACGTTGTGGTGTCCTTTAGCATGTGGGGAAGTACTGGAAAATCTTTTAAAAAATCCAGTAGAAATGAAAGGATAAAAATGGTTTTCAATTTTGCATTTACACATAAAACCCTGCATTTATTCATTCCCTTTGTTTCCAAGTATTTACAGAGCAAAGTATTTTGTTTGTATCTGGATAATTAAAATAATAAAGACTAGATTTTTGCTAGGCTCTTGATTCCAGGTCCTTCAGAAAGACAGGACTTTCTTCTATTCTGGAGTGGCCCACCGTGAGAGGGGCAGATCTGTGGTGGGTCTGCTTGTTTCCCCCAGCTCAGCCGCCTCACGTTTGAGCTCAAACCAGTGGATGAGAGGGTCACATTCCTTCGCCCTCCGGTAGGGGGCATGACTCTGAATCTTGTCTTGGCCTATGGGCAGAATGTTGGTAAAGAGTACCAGGCATTCTTAGTGTCCCCGAGGGGGGTTTTGGGTAGAGCCCCACTCAGGGATTCCAACATTCTGCTGGAGGACTTCAATGCCTATGTAGGAAATGACAGTGACACCTGGAGGGGCCTGATCGTGAAGAACGGACCCCCAGCTCTGAACATGAGAAGTGTTTCATTATTGGATAGTGTAAGTCATGGACTGTCTATAATTGACACTATGTTCAATTATAAGAATGCCGATTGGTGCACTTGGTATCAGGACACCCTAAGCTGGAGGTCAATGATTGACTTTGTAGTCGATCTTCCGACCTTCGGCCACATATCTTGGACACTTGAGGGAAAAGAGGGGGGCAGCTGTCAACAAATTACCACCTTGTGGTGAGGAGGATACGCTGAAAGAGGATAAGGCCAGACAGACACGGTAGGTCTAAGCTATTAGGGGGGGTCTATTGAGAACATCTAGCAGAGCCCTCACTTAAGGATGTATTCAACTCCCAACTCAGGGAGAGCTTTTCTCAGATCCAGGGGATGCTGCGGAGATGACAGATGAGTTGACAGTATTCTCTACCTGTATTGTTGATGCCACTGTCAATAGCTGAGTTGGTAAGGTCTGTGCTGCCTAATGTGGTGGCAATCCCAAGGGATGTTGTCAGGCTGAAGAAGGAGTCCTATTGAGCCAGGTTTGCTTATGGGGATCCTGATGGAGCAAGCAGGTATTGTGAAGCCAAGCATGTCGCTGTGTGCATGATTGCGGAATCTAAACTTGGTTCTGGGAGGAGTTTGGAGAGACCATTGAGAAGGACTACAGGTTGGCCTCAAAGAGATTTTGGTAAATCGTCAGGTGTCCCCTCAGAGGGGGGAGTAGTGCTTCTCTAACACTGTTTTTAGTGGGAGCATGGAGATACTGACCCTGAACAAGAACATTGTTTTACGGCGGAAAGAATACTTTGAGGATCTCCTCAACCTGGCTGAAAAACCTTCCAAAGTAGAAGAAGAGAAGTGGTGCTTGGGGCTAGACTTGTTCATCAACATGGCTTAGGTCATCAACTTGGCAAAAAAAAAAAAAAAAACTCCACTGGGGCAAGGTTTCATGGGTGGGGGAAATCTTGTCAAGCCTTGGTTTCAGGAGGAGCAATGAGGTTTTCATCCTGGCCATGGTACACTAGACCAGCTCTACACTGTCTGCAGGATGCCCAAGGGGTCATAGGAGTTTACCCAACTGCTCCTTGTGTGTTAGTGGACCTGAAAAAGGCATTTGACTTGTCTTTTATAGTGCCTTTGGGGGTCACAAGAGGAGGACAGAGTCAGGTGCCCTTTATTAAGGGCCATCCTGTCGCTGTACAAGGGAAGTAGAAGTTTAGTCTGCATTGCCGGCATTAAGTTGACCCTGTTCGCAATGGATATTGGACTCGGACAGGGCTGACCTCTGTAACCGATCCTGTTCATAGCCTTAATGGACACGCTTTCTATGAGCAGGAAGGGACTGTAAGAGGTCTGGTTTGGGGACCAGTGGATTGTGTCCTAGCTTGCTCCAGATGACGTGGTTCTGCTGGTTCCCTCCAGCAATGATCTACAGCTCTGCATTGAGGCAGATTGCAGCCAAATGTAAAGGAGCTGGGATGGGAATCAGCAGAAGCAGGTTATGATTTTTGATTGAAAAAGGAAGCTCATACCCTTCAGGCTGGAGGTAAGTACCTGCCTTAAGCGGAGTAATCTAAGGAGACCGATAGACAGATTGGTAGAGTTGCTGCTATAATGCGGAAGCTATACCTGTTTGTTCAGAGAGAGCTGGGCAAAAAGGCAGCCAATCGATCTGTGTTCCTTCTCTCACCTATGGTCATGAAATCTGGATCAAGACCCAAAGAACAAGATTCTGGATACCAGCAGCTGAAATGAGTGTTCTCTGCAAAGTGGTTGGGCACTCCCTTAGAGACAGGGTAGGGAGCCCAGTCAATCCAGGAGAGGCTTGGGGTAAAGTTGCTTCACCTCCACATCGAGAACACTCAGCTAAGTTGACCTGGACAATTTATTTTATCAGATGCCCCCTGGACACCTACCTCTGGAGGTAGTCCAGGTGTTTCCTACTAAGGGGTTCCCAAGCCAGCTGAGAGACATAGTCCCTCCACCTTGTCCTGGGCTGTGGAGGATGACCAGGTGGGACCAGGAAGATGGCCAGAAGACGGCCAAGGACATGGTGGAGTGACTATGTCTCTCGGCTGGCCTGGGAGCATGTCAGCCTACCCCCAGCAGAGACAGAAGAGTTGTCCGGGGAGAGGGAAGTCTGCTAAGACTGCTTTCCCCACAACCCTGTCCTAGATAAGTGGAAGACGATTATTACGTATTTCATTAATTAATTAATGAAGCTTAATTGTTTGATCCCTAGAGGGAATTAATAAAACATTCATACAGACCAATGAACTGTGCTCGGCTCCCTGCTCCATTGTGGCTCACTTGTTAGCATGTCTAAGGAGGATTTTAATACTGAACCTGGTGGGGGTTGGTCCCAAAAACTGCCTTCTTGAATCAGAATGTTAGACAAAGGTTACCTTTAGATTTATGTAACGCCAGATTCAAAGGCCGATTACTTGATTACTTGCGGAGCCAAGGTATGGTCGGATTCCCAGACTCCTCGTTATGCAGCCTACGAGTACGTCCTTCTTTTTACCCGATTTAAAGGACGGATACTTTGTAGACTTGGTTATCCCAGGATTCATTGCAATGTTTGATTTATCCAAAGGTTTTCATCTGTTAGTGTGTAAATGGGTTTGGCTGTGATTTAAAGACAGATTCTAATATATCTGCAGTGTGGGGAAAATAAATCTAACTTGATTTTTATTTTTTATTTGCTATTATGCACAATTTGCTAAACTAAGCATTTTTTGTTGTTGACTATACGATATTCTGCAGATATATTTTTTATACATACATTTATTAGATTTACTTATATCTGTCTACCCCTTTTATAGAATATAATAGAATATAAAATCCCTTTATTGTCCCACAATGAGAAAATTCTGATGTTAACAGCAGCAAAAAAATTACAGAAAAAAATGGTCACACAAATGTGGACCTTAGAAATGTTTATAAGAATAACATAATAGTAAATAATTAATAGATAAGCAATAAAATATTGTACTGTAAAGTATTTTAACAATATAAGAAACTGTGCACCTGGAGAACAAATAACCAATATCCAGCTCTGGACATTTTTACAGTAATGGATATTTGAAAATAGCAGCAACATCAGAGATGTGCAAAATGACAGCATTATGTTATATAACTGACTAAGGTTTATATTATTACATCTGCTTTTATTTGTTCATGTGATGGTATTTGCACCTTTATTCTACTCTGTATTCTCATGAGTGTAGTCTCTGTTAACTTAAAAATAAATAAAGAAAAAAAAGAAAAGTATTGAGGTATTCATTCTGTTCCAGCATTGTGTGTCAATTGTCACGGTTGCTGAACGACAGTGCGTATGGGCGGAGAAAGCCGCCAAAGGCTAGACCAGTTTGAATTCACAGCCAAAACTCTTTCAGTCACCTTTTTTTCCCTGACTTCGAAAGACCCTGTGCAGGTAGACCGGGTCCTTGGAAGACGCAGCCCATAAATTCGGACACACCCATAGAGTCTTGATCGGGACATCCCTTATAAAAGCTTTATATTTACAGTTTTAGAGCAGGTGCTCACAAACAGTGTTACTGTTACAGGCGTGGCCTTTGCTTTGAATATACATAACCAAAAACCAATCTGGATATAAAGGCTTGAAAAAAATTATTCAATACCTGTTCTCATATCTCCTTATACCATATTACAAAGCTCAAACCAAACAAAAAAAAAAAAAGAAAGAAAGAAAGGGGTTGAGAATTAAACAAGGTTCTGCTTCTAGGAAGACGATATAATATATCCGCTGCTGTGCTGGGATACTGGTTATCCCTCCAAAAAAGAGTATAAAGGTTACCTGTAGGTGTGATGCTGCGGAAGGAAGAGGAAGGGGTGATGGGTGGGGTGACTGGAGGGGTGAGGTTTCCACTGGTGTGACGGGGCGGTGTGGAAATGTTGCTGCGTGACAGACTGCCTGTTAGGGAGAGTTTGGGCTGTAGTTTTTTCTTCAGGGCCTCATGTTCTCGCCTTGCGGCATCAGTCATGAACCTGACATAGATGAAAAAACTACTGTAACAAACTTTTATAAAAAAAAAAGGTCAATTCACACTTTCTTCACTAATTAAATTTGTGCCCTGCAGTTGTAGAATGCATGGTTGGAAAAAACACCACTAACCACATTTAAATAAAAACTAAACAGGTTTATAGAAGCAGTAAAATGTTTTTGTAAATTGGTATAATAAGACTGAAGCATTTACACAGACACTGGTGAAAGAAAAGTAGAGTTGACCAATTAAGCGACGGCCACATGAAGATCCGTTTGTGAAAGCAGGGAGACAGTGGGACACTGTGTCGCACACAGACGTACAGGAAGGCCTATAAAAGCTTTGTTAGAGCCGCATATCAAAGCCAGCTGGGATGATCTCAGAGCAGTAAAACAAAAACACAACACCACAGAAATTAATCTAAGCAATCCACCAGATGACAAACCAAACCGTCAGCAACACTTACTGAGTCTCCCACATAACCACAGTAGCAGGCCATTATTTAAGTGAAGAACAGAAACTGATCATATTAATCTGAGGTTTAATCAGATGGCAACAAATTGATGTTGCTTAGATAAAGAGTGGATAACTTATGTAGAGTTTTAAAATTTATTAAAATGTTAAAAAATGTCCTTACCTACTGATGTAACTGAGAGCAATATATGTTGGCTGCTGCTGCTCCTGCTTCTCCAAAAGACAGGGGTCTGTATCTAAGGAGGAGAAAAAGACACATTGAAACAGGCTGGACTAAATAAAATAAAATAAACAGTGCTAATTATTTAGCTTTTCTATTTTACTGACTTGGACATAGAAAATCAAACTTTTCAGTATGTAATATTTTTCTTTTGTCAGTATCACTTCAACTCTCCTTGTAAGGCTGACACAGCATGAAAACCAACATTACAATTAAACAGGATAAAATCACATTAAGAAACATCAAAAGGTGCACGAAGAAGATCATATATATATTTACACAACAGGCTTCTGTGGTAAAAGTAGTTGTTCTTGATTTCAGTTCAGTCAATCTTCCTTACCATATCTCAAGACTAACTATCTTTAAATTGGATCCAGAAATGATTAAGGCACAGGTGAGGCTTCTAACTCCAGCATTAAGCATTTTATACCACCGTGCCCTGTTATGGAGAATATTATCGCAGGAAAAAATTTCAGACAGCTGTTCAGCAAATTTTCCTCAAAGAGGATAAGCTGATAAAGGTCTCTGATAAAGAAGCTGACTGCTCACCGAGTTCTGTGGCCAATCATTGGAAAGTTTTACAGAACAGAATTTGAAGAAGTGTTCAATCAGCGGTCTGAGGCAAAAAATGTGCTGAAACTGAAACTGTTGGTCCAACGTGTTTCATAATATCCAAAATGTGGCCGTGGGGAAGGTTTCAGAGCACCTGCCCAAAGAGTCATATGTAACAATACCAGCTGTAATGATATCGCCATGGTATCGGTGTGCTTAAGCAGACTTTCAAAAATAAATCCTAATTTAATATAGAAACTATAGAGATGAGAGACACCAACCCCAAAATACTGCAGATGAGCTATAGGGCTCCTTAACACCTCAGTCGAGCCACAGACTAATGACCTTTATGCTCTTATGGACTAATGGTGCATTCACACTGACAGTGACAGAGCCAGACCATTTTCATAGGGGTGGCAAGGCAGGGAGTGCACTGCAGGGTGGCCAAAAACTGATAGGCGCCGAAACCAGATAAGGGTTAATCTCCACCAAACACAACGAACCACCATGGACAAATGAATAAGCAATAAATCCATTTTTTTCATGAAGCCCTGGCTAATAAATATACAAATTTATTCATTTCCCAGCCTTTATTCCAACTTTGGAGGGTCAGCTTTTAGTTAATTCCAACAATGAACTTAGACAAAATAGTTTCTGAACCAAGGTACACCCTAGTAAAAGGTCTGAAAACAGTGAGAGTTGCTTTTTGTTATGGCATTAACTTCTATTAGTAATCCAAATAACTATGTGGTTGTCTCTTATTAAACACAAACTATCAGAAGCAATTCCTTTATTGTTTGTAGCAGCAGTTTTGACTGCATTCTCCATAATATATATAAATGACCAGAAGTGCTAACAATGATTTTGTACTGAAACTTCTACTACCTCTTGTAACTGCAGACATATTGAATAGAAGGCTGCTTGGTGAGCTCCAATTTTTCCTGTTGGGCTTTTGACTTCAGAGTTTTTTGTTGTACTTCTGGTAGGAACTTGGGAAGTTTGACCGCCAAGATACAGAGAAAATACACCATGTTATCCATGAATGAACATTTAGAAACTAACCTAAACTTGTACAATTTTTAAACCCCTCTTAGTGAAAATCTTTATATCCTTTATAGTAGCAGATTTCACTATATCAAACCATTTCTATACTCTTAAAATGCAGCCCAGAAGAAACTGCATGCAGACAAATGACCACACTTCACACTGTATTTTTGCCTCGTCAGCTCTACAGATTCATCTTGCTCAGTGACACTAAATGTGTTGTACAACAGTAACCTCCTCCACACCCCGAGGTAAAGCGTACCTCACTTAAAAAACTCTTCCCACTGTTGTGGGAGAACAAAACGGCCCCTAAAACAACAGCTTGAACCACAGCAGAGCTGTCCGCCCCTCTGGCAGCCTTTTAGGAAGGTTTCTTAACCCACCAAGTTCAAACTAGTTCTTGGTCCTATCCAGCACACGGACTAGGAACCATTTATTGGGCCATTGATTTTAAACTCTTATGAGCTTTATTGAAGAAGAAGAAATAACATTAATAATACTGCAAATATTGTCACCTAAATGGAAACTGCAATGAGAGAAAAACTCACAGAACAAGGAAATAACCATGTTTGTCCTGATTTTTTCTGTAATACAATCATGCTTATTTGCAGAATTGTTTTGATTCTGCCACATTTGATATTTTTCAAATGCAAACAAGCTTGCATAAGATCATAATAAATTATATAAATTGAGTTTAAACTTGAACCTTAACCAGGACACTAATAAAAAAAATAATTTAAGGTTCTTTTTTATGAGGCTTTCATTGATGGACTTGGTATGATTAGAATATTATCTTCTGCATAACCCAAGATCATTTAAACTTTATATCATGAAATGCGGTTGTGGTATAATCCCAAATCAAAGCTGGTGTAGATTATCAGGATGTTTTTAGGGAAATGTGAGATGGGTCTTTTCCAAATTTCTCTCGGTCAGGAGTGGTTTTTGACTTTCTCCAGTGAATACACTTTTTGTCCAGGAATACTGACCTTCTCCGAGGACTACTTTAGATTTTCTTGGTCCTTTTATGAACTGCTGGATGAATCTGAAAAAAGCAAAATCTACAATTTTCTCATATTTTGTCCAGTTGTAGATATTGGCCATCACTGTGATTTGGGGGATGCCCTTAATAGATGGGAAGGACTTTCCATCAACATTTCTTTCAATTGGGTAGGGCATGAGTTTTTGTTGAGATATTTAAGCCCATTTTATATTGTCGGAGAGGTTCTATTTCAGTTTAAGAGTAGTATTAAGGCGAAGCTTTAGTTGTTGAGAATAACTTTCAAATTTCTGTTTCAGTGTCTAGATACTACACAGATCTTAAACCATGACTACAGACAGTTCTTTGAGGCCACGTGCAAGCGTTTCATTAACAGTGGATGTATCCCTGGTGTGAAGGACGGCAGATTGTAACCTACTCTGTTTTTATCAAATAGTTGCAAAGAGCTGGAGACACGCAGTCATTATGACACCAGTCCCATGCCAAAAGCCAGAGGCAGCCCTCAGACTGCTCAGAGCTTTGCAGTAATGGCATGCGTGTGTGCAATAGTGCACAAGAAATCCCTCCAAAAATCCCTAATGAGTCTCAAGCTGTGGACTGGCGGCCAGCTCAAAAAGCAGTGGATTGGTCTGTTCCCACACGCTGTAAATCACAAAAGCCTCAGGTGGGGACTGCAAAGGAAAACTGCAGGGACCTCCCCCCGCCCCCCAAAAAAAGAACCTCTGGTATTCTTTAAGGCCACCATGAGTCAAGGACCAAGAGGAAGGTGCCTCAAGTGGAGATGAGAACCTTTCTAATCAAACTACACAGGTGGTCCACCATGGTGGGCAACTATTAGAGGGGCTTCTGGGAAATAAAGTTTTTTGTCAAAAAATTCATGTATGAAACACTCCTTCTAAATTGCAGAGTGATCTCTATTTATGTCTTCAGACACTGATGCTTTAGGCATTAGATAATGCAGTGATCTGATGATGCACCAATATTTTAATCTAAATCTATTGCATTTACCACTGATATTTATTTGTTCTCCGTGAAGGCCTGCCACCACTAACAACAGTGTGGATAGGTTTATTAAAAGTAATTATTATAGTAGTGCTAAGCTGGCAATACACCTGAATTATCCATATTCCAAGTACAGAGTTTTTACACTAATTTAGTGACTTTTTCTCTGTCTGTATGTGTCATCTGTTCTATCTCAGGGCATAATGTCCCTCTTCAACAATTGAGCGGGGGGGGGGAGTGTCCATTATAATTATTCGTTATAAATATCTATCCATTATAATGGTGTTTACAAAAAACTTGTAAAAACTACTGGGTATTGATACCCTATGGAGCTAAGATGCCTCTCTTTGCTGTAGGTATCCATCAGTGACCTGTTGTTCCTCCTTCCCATCCTGATAACTGTGTGTGGTGGCGAAATAAAGATAAATTATCGCACAAACTTGCTTGTTACAGCTGTATTTTTTACCTTCTTATTAGATGCATTAACTATAGTTATGATCAACTTAGAAGATAAACAGGTTCTTTTGTCCGTTTCCTGATGAATGTCTTCTCTAAATGGAAAGCTTACTTATCTTATTTGGAGAAAAGGCAAGTAAAATAAGCTCACTTGTTATGTTACATTCCAGACAAACGGTAGATCATGAGTGTTTTTTTTTTTTTTCAAACTGAGCAAATGTAATCCTGACAGAATCCTGATTAGATTATTGGCTTCAATTGGCAAACACAGATAAAATGATTCAGTAACAAATAAGAGCAAGAGCCCCATATGATGGTCTACATCAGATCCCCAAGCATGCCTTCCAGCGGTGGAAGTGACTCCTTCTACCGTCTCATAACATTCTCTACAGGACTAGCTTCCTTGCTGCTGTGCGCACACCAGACACACAGTTCCCTCTCTCATTTCCAGAGACATCTGGCTGCTCCACCCCTGACAGTCCAATGCACCGTGGGGCAGAGTCGAGTGGCGAGCATTATGGTGACATGTTTATGGCGACTGTGAGCAGCAGGGAACATTACCAGGAGTGGTGGCACAGGTAATTCATTACAATGTGACCTCTGAAGAGGAAATGAAACGGAGACAAGCTCCATGTGAAAGCCACTTTTTTGTGGCTTACTGAGAAAACATGGGGTGGCTAAAATGATTGATTATAAGTGTGTTTAACACAAGCAGCAACTTATACAACTCAAGCTAAGATGCAGAAATCCTCACTGCTGGTTCTTCATGTTTTTCCAGTGAGGTAATAATAGAATAAATGTCCTTTTCTTAACGGCTTAAGATTTTAACTTTTAAGCCTGAAATTATTCAACTTTCAAAAGTCTTATGATCTTGACATTCAATTCACTAGAATGAAAACAACCACTAAAGATGCTAGTAATCATGGTATATCATACTCAGAAACTAGAAGAAATTGGATGTAACT